GAACCATGAGCCAACTCACAGTACAAGAGCTGCTTTACCGGCCTATCATTGTTCGTGTCCTAACCAACACAGACGGGTCCTTACTAACATCACCTCCGTGTCTTCAATGTCGGCGTGTCGCAACACCTCTTCATTGATGATGTAATCGTCCAATTTGATGTTTAAGATAAGACATAGATGATGCTGTTGTATTGCACGGAGCTGCATGATTTCATGTTGATATAGAGTCCAAGTTTCATTTCCATACATCAGAAGGGGCATTAGACATTGGTTGTACACAGTGACTTTATTTGAAGCTGTTAGATCATGTGAGTTGAAAACTCTCTTTCACAGTCGACCAAAAGCACATGACATTGCTTGAATATGAGATGCAAGTTCCTCCTTCATAGAGCAGTCGCTGCCAACGTAACTGCCAAGGTACTGGAAGGGAGTGACGTTAGCTAACTAGGTGCCGTCTTCAAAGAAATCAGCTGTGTTACACTTAGTCTCTGTTTTGACCATTTTGATGCACAGGCCCATCCTCTTAGTGATGTCATTATAGGAGGTCAAAAGCGATTGCAGACCCTCTGGCGTGTCGCTGAAAATAGCAAAGCTGTTAGGGCTTTGGTTTTTGCTTTAAGCCTGCGTAGCTCAAAGAGATCTCCATCGTAACGTAACCTGATCTGTACACTGCAAGTGTGTTTGATTTTCTTGAAGGTAAGCCATAGTAAGACTGCTGCATAGATGCCAAAGAGTGTTGGAGCTAGTTTGCACCCCTGCTTAACCCTACCATTTTATTCAAGGGATTGGGTCAGTTCACCATCAACTATAAGTCTGGCATGTACATCTGTATATAGCTTCTTGATGATTCTTATAAACTTTGGCGGACAGCCAAGTTTGTGAAGGATGATGAAAATAAGCTTGCAATTGACAGTGTGGAACACCTTGACAAAATCCACAAAGGCCATGTACAAGCATCTGCGTTGCTCTCTTGTTTTTTCCATCAGCTGGCAAAGCGTGAAAATTCCGTCTATTGTACTTCTTCCATTACTATACCCTGACTGCAACTGGGGATACATGGATTCCACTAGCAGGTGTAGCCTCTGCAAAATGACGTCTACCCATACTTTTCCAACAGTACTAAATAGCGATAAGCCTCTGTAATTACTGCAATGACTTCTGTCACCTTTTTTGGACAATATGTCAATGTTCACATCTATGCAGTCCAATGGGATTATCTCTGTAACCCAGCAGCTGTTGAAAAGGTCAAGCAGGAAAGCTCTCAGACAATGTCCACCATTCACAAGTATTACAGGAAGAATACTATCAGGACCTGAGCTCTTTCCTAGTCGGGTGTTTCTAAGAGCTTGGTCAAGTTCTTGCTCTTCAATTGGGCAGCGCATTGATTCAATGACTGAAAGCTGGTCTATGCCATCGGCAATGGTCGAGTCAGCATTAGTTGGTTGGTTTAGTAAATCACTGAAATGTTCAACTATCTGTCCATTATCATGTCAGGGGCAGTCAGGAGCTCGCCATCTTTGGACTTCACTGGATGAGAGGTTCTGGATCTTGGACTATAAACAGCGTTTAGAGTGGCATAGAAGTCTCTGTGGTTCTTATCATGAGAGTACCGCTCTGCTTCTTCACACAAAAAGAGGACTGTGGAGCAAAGTAGTAGAAAGGGCAAGTAAAAGTGTAAAGTAGGCTTTCATTCAAACACTCAACATTATAGAGAATGTTCTAACTATCTACCACATGCACTTAGAATAGGGAAAATATATAATATATAGGAATCTGAATGCAAATGTTTGAAGGTATATTACTCTGTTGTCTATTGTAATTATGACATTCTGTTATTTGATTGGTGGACAAGTAGAGCTCACTGTTAGTCTAAAATAACAAAGATAACTGACAAGTTAAAAAAATTAGCAAGCATTTTGAGTTTAGTGTACTTTCCTCAACTTTTGCTGAAAACTGTTCCAATTATTTATGCCATACATACAATTCAACTTATATTGAATAAATCAAGTGTATAACATGCAACCTAGACATGTCCAGTTGCAAGCACATTGCATGTTCTTCGTACATTGTGCATGTATATTGGACTAGACTAGTCTAGTTGTTAACATCAACAATTTTTTCTTTTCCTATCCACTAGAATTATTAAAAATAATTATCTGCTTGTTTGTGTTCGCCAAATAAAAATTCCTGATAAAGAAGCATTCTGGGCATTTCTATGGTGGGCTTGGTGGTAGAGCTACTGGGGTTCTGTGGAACTGTGCCCTTACTGTTAACTGGCCTTTTTGCGGCAGCAAGGCCCTATTTGTGACAAATACACCTGGATCTGCTCTTCTGGAAACGTTGGCTTTGTCTAATCTTTTAGCAACACAAAGACCAGAGTGTTTGTTGAAACTTGGCAAGGCAAAGTCTTTGTCCTTATTTTGGCACCTGTCTAATGTCCACAGGTGTTGAGGGGGAAGACCCCCTGTAACAAACTCAACTCTCCTCAATCCCCTGCTCTCCAGGTTTGCAAGAAGGCCCACAGCTACCTCTCTTGTTAGCCCACAGATACCCTTGGTCTGCAATATGAAAATATATCTGGTCAGTTTCTTTCTGCTTGCATTGACAATGGTCATAAGAACATATATTAAAGTAATACAGAAAACAAAATTGCACAACAACACTGCTTTGCAGGTTGGAGAGCAGATGTTGCTCATATTTCTACCCAGTGTGCAACAAAATTGATTGTTTTTGTTGCATGAGGTAGAAGTACTTTCTGCTTTTGCAGAAATGAAAACGTGTTGCACTTGGGTTGGTATTATGTGCTGCATTTGCTATGAAACTTGAAATGCAACGATGTTACATGAGTTTGTTGCCCAAATTACCACACCTTAATATTTTCTTTACTTTTTGCTCCTGAATTGGGAGTTCTTCAGTACTCTGACAATTTTGTGCATAGCATTACATATTGTATTACATTGACGTAATAGTTGAGAAATACATGTGAAATGACAAATTACAAATATGCATTCCAGTACAATACTACTGTATACATAAATTGGTTAGCGTATTTAAAAAGTATGTCATTACTATAGCAAAAATGGTGTAATGTCTGGGGTACAGGCTTTTTGAACAGCCTCTTCATACCTATTAACATCAATTGGTGAGTGGTTGGAATTCCATCTATGCCATGGAACCCAATCATCCAATAACCACTTCTTCATGTCTTGAAGATAGATAGATCTCTGTGCCTCTGAAAGTCCTCTTCCATCCACTGCTTTGTTCCGGCTATGAATTGTAGTACTGCTGCATCAGTTGCATAGCCTAGGAGTTCAAGGAAGTTGATTACACCAGGGGAAAATATTCTTTCGCAGTCAGGGACAAACTGTTTGTTTTTACCAGTGAGGGCTTCATATGTCAGTCCTGTTTGGGGGTCATGCAGTGCATCCCTCAGATACTGCTGGTTTATTCCAGGTATGAGGCCTTCCCTAAGGCATGTTGTGATGCGCTTTAGCAAGTGATTGTGGTCCTCTCTGTGATATATAAACTCACTTGTGTCACTGTCCCTTTCTGGCTGGTAAAAGAACTTCGAAAAATTAGCAGGATTATGTGGTAGTAAATTCAGCCTAGCTATTTGAAATTGGTACAAATAGATTGTCATCACAGATTTCTTTATTTCAAGTGCTGCCTCCCGTCTTCCTTTACCCATGTATAGGGATCATAGAGGAATGGAAAAAGCCTTTGTCTCATAATGCACAGGGCATTATTTAAGGGTACAGGGTTGTTAACATCACTCATAAACTCATGTAACCACTGAAGATCTTCAATTGGAATGGCTGTGTGTGCTCCAAAGGGTTACCTAATAACATCAAAATTAGAGTTTTATTACTCCTTTGTACTGCTGTAAGTTGTAAACAATCAAATAGGCGGCCATATCTCATTTGCATTAATGTTACTGTTTTGGAAGTACAAGTACATGATCCTTTACATTGCACAATATTGAAAGTTTTGATGTGACATCAGTGAGTAAATAAGGGCAATTACACTGGTCACAACTTAAAAAATACATACCATGTCTATCAAAAGCAAATTGTCTGAATAACAGCTGTGCTCATGCTCTTGGCCTAGTTTTTGGCATTCTTTGCCACCTAAATCACTGAAATTGGTTTTTTTTGTCCTATAGTTTTCAGAGTTGAACTCACCATCTGTTGAAATCCTGTAGATAAGAGAATAATGAATTAATGCTTGCAGTACCAATATTCAAAATTCAAGCATAATTAATTATTGTTAATTTTCATTAGAGTTGAGATCCCTTGTGCCATGATCTGTAATATTGTCAATTCAAACATTCCTTCTAGATAATTATGTTTTGAATTTGTTTGGATGTTTTTGGTTGATAAGGCATACAGTGTAAAACAGCATTATTATAAAGAATGGACAAAATGTATGAAAGATTGCAATAAAAAAATGTATAAAAACAGTTTACCTACAACAACCATCCCGTAGTGCTAACATCTCTGTTACATTTCCAAAACTGAATATTTAAGGCTTGCAATCACTAAATATGTACAAGGTGTGTAAAGGTGTAAAGTATACAAAGGTCCATGCGATAATATGGTAATACATGTTGGTGCAACGAAGCATGTGATGCATAGTTGTGTAGCGTAAGCTCCTCATTGTACATTCAACCTCCAATTCCAATTCTCCTAATTTTGAATCTGTGGTAGACTTTTATTACATGAATTGTACAGGAACAGCATAAGGCTTTTGGTTTCTGCACTCATCTGCTATCATAAATATCAGCAGGTGGCTTGCTGCAGATCTTTTCTTTGAATACAGTCCTTTTAGATATGAGGAACTCTTGTTTCAAAGGCACAATTATATTCATCACAGTCTCTTTTATAGATGCTTCTAGAAAAATAGCAAGGGAGTTCTGAAACTTTTTAGTCTGTTTTAAGAGCTCTTTAAAAGCCAGTCAGATCCCATGACAATTTTATGAGTGTTGCTTCAGCATTGCATTTACCATTCAAATCTCTTGTGTGTCCCTCTGGATTTCATTTCTCCCTCAACCAAAAATTCCAAATCCCTCAACAACAATTCTTTCATTTTCCTTAGATCATCCATTATGGTTTGGTCAGTCTTTCCAAACTCTTTCACAGAGTTACATCTTAACTGGTACTCTTTATGCATTTTCCTTAATCCATCTGACCCTTCATCTCCTGACCACTCCTCTTTCATACTATCCATTAATCCTTTTCGGACATCACAGGCATCAGCCTTTATCCACCATCTGCCAGATGGGTTGCTATTTTTTGCTTGTTTCAGGGCTTTCATCTGCAAATAAATAGCTTGCCGCTAAATACCTTTTAATTTTTGAGACTTTGCTTTGCTTGTGCTATTGTCATAGCTTCCAATGTGTAGTTCCAAAAAATACCTCCCACACAAACACTGTGGTTTGTTTTCTTTTAATCCACTCCCTCTCAGAATTTACAATTCTCTCCATGGTATTGATGTTTTTAGAACTATGCAACATCATTTTATAGACATTTAATTACCTGAACATTAACTGTGCAGGTAAATCCAAAATTGGAGATAGGCCTTTGAATTTGCCCAACACTCAAGCTGACAATGTTGATATTGCTCTGTTAAAGAAAAGGAATATTGTTAATACTCTATTGGGATACAAATTGCAGTAGTGGGTTTCAATGCTAGGGGTACATGTAGATTTTAAGTGGTTGCCATGAATAAATGTGTACTCCATTCTGATATGCTCAATTGATCATCATTTTTAGCGAATAATACAAACCTTTAAAGGATTATGCATTCCAAGGTTCTGTTTTTGTCTTTGCACAGTAGTAGGAGTAATTTGGTGATACTCTTCTAAATCTTGAGTGGTACATTCTCCCTCAGCATACTCCACATCCATGTTTCTTGGAACATTAGTCCATACATAAGTCAACTGAGTAGTTTTCACCTCTTTATTTGCTGTTATATGAAGAAATTTCAACCCAATGACATAAGTACTACAAATAGAGTCAGATTGATCTTATTGAGGAAACAGCAGTTGGAATGAGAGATTCATCGAGTCTCACCGATAATGAAGAATAATAGAGATTGAATTTGAACCCAAAACCTGCATTCTGGTCAGATGCTCTATCCAATTGTAACCTTGCTCACCACTAGGATGTCCAGTAACTAAGTGTAATGGTCATACATTTACCTATTTATACATTACAGAGACTGTGTGATAAGGCATTAGTCATACTCAAAGTTTTTGCATTACTACCAGGTTGCTCTGTGAAACACTTGCACAAATCATGGATAGTATTGTGCTAGCCCACTTCAAATAGCGTTCTCATACCATCTGGACTAACACTGACAAAGTCCCTTTGAATAAATTTGA